ATCTAACATGTATCCTTACCTGTGTTCGGTCGGATTCGGTTCGGGTAGCCCTCCAACTGCTCTCTAGGCGTCTTTTCCAGCGTTTCATCTCTCTCAGCTCCTCGGTAAACCAAGGAGCTAGTTGAGATCTACGTCGGGTCAGAGGCCGCAACGGCACGACTCGGTCCAGTGCTGCGGCTGCGGCCACATCCCAGGCCGCTGCCTGATCTTCCGCCGAGTCGTGACCTAGATCCTCCGGATATGGCCTAAGCTCCGTCAGAAACCTCTCCGGGTCCATCAGGAGCCTGGGACGGAACCATCTAGGCGGTTCTGTCTCCCTGCGGCGAGGGGAAGCGGTCCGGAAGTCCATCCTAAGGAGTGCATGATCTGACCATGACAAGGGCTCTATATTTATCTCCCCCATTTCCAGATCATTCTGCCACCGGCCAGAGACAAAAATTAGATCTAGTGTATGTCCTCCCGTGTGAGTGGGGGCATGAACTAATTGGGTCAAGTCCATGGTCGTCATGGAGGCCAGGAACTCCCGAGCCGCCGCTGACGTTTCACCCGCCGATGGCAGGTTGAGATCCCCCATGACTATAAGTCTGGGGGTCTCAACCGCCACCCCGACTATCACGTCAGCCAGCTCAGGCAGGGCCGTTGACACATAGCAGGGGGCCAGGTATATTATCAACAGGCCCACTTGTACCCCTTGCCCCCACTTCACAAGGAGGGACTCTGCACCGTCTATCTGAGGCACGGTGGCCTCCCTTGGACATAGGCTCTCCCTTATAATGACCGCTACCCCACCGCCCCTACCCCGGGTCCTCAGCTGATGGAATGCCTGGAAACCCGGTGGGCATAGATCAACAAGGGGAACTCCCCCTTCCATGCCCAACCAGGTCTCGGTGATACCTGCCAGGTCCGCTCCCCCCTCTTGAATAAGCTCTTGAATGAGGGGGGCCTTATTTACCACGGACCTGGCATTGCATAACATCAGCCGATGATCCCGGGCCCAAGGATCTGAAGTCCCTGGAAGTCGAGTAGAGCCCTGAGGATCGGAGCATCCACAAGCTTGTAAGCAGCGTGTGCGTGCTCCCAAAACCCAATATGGTCCTCTGCTCCCGCCATATCTGCCCCTCCCACTGACCGTACCTATCACACCACCCTCCGTTAACCCCCCAGTCTCCTCCCTCACCACTCCGCGCCCCCCAGACAGGACTGGCCTTGGCCTCAGAGAGGACTCCCCTAAGTCCCCTCGGGCCAACCCCGAACCCTCTAAAAATTTAATAAAACACCCCTCTAAGAAGACACGTAATTTTCTTCTCCTTAGTTCCCTAGTTGCTGTTGCTGTGTGCCACCTCTCGGGGTTCCATACCCCTTCATCAAGGCAGGCCCTTAAGATCGTATTGGGCCATGCCTGCGCGATGGGGGAGTCGCGCAGGGCCAGCAGTTCCTTCCTGGAATACAGTCCCAGTTCCCATCAGGAGGTCCAGCAGCAGAGTAGGGGAGGGGGGAAAGTCCTCGTGATGGTAATCCTAGTCAGGGGCTTAGATGGATCACAAGAAAGCAGCACAGTTCGTTGTTCTTCTTGACCCCCATGAGGGGGGGGGAAATTGCAGTCAAAGTCAGCCAGGCCCTAACCGCGCAGGCCTCCAGGCACGCCAGACCCCAGTCGCACAAGCCTCCAGGCCCACTCCAGGCACTCACCGCCAAGCCCTGGATCCTCCAACAGGCCGTGTCCCTCAGGCAGACTCCTCCTTTGGGCAGCGGCCCTCATATGAGTATCAACCAAACCTTTCATTATTATGGTGATCCAAGTTTATGTTTCAGATGCAGAAGGAATTAATTTTGACTACTTCCGTGCCAGTGTGCAACACCTTGTCAATTAAGTGCCATAAAAGATGTCGTATTCATTATAGGCAATTTCAAGGCTAAAGAATACTGAATAGTATAATGGAATAAATAAATAAAATATACAATGAATTTCTAAGAGGTGATTTAAGACCAGGGATAATTTTGTATTAGCAAAAGATTACCAATTTTTTTCTTCACCAATCTTTAAAATATGCCCATTATTATTTTATTTTAGGCTGACATCATAGTAGCTAATCCTTACATGAAATCTGGAGATGATCCCTATACCCTGCAGTATGGAGGTTGTGGGATACCAGGAAGATACATTCATTTCACACCAAAATTTCTGACAAATGACAATTTGCATGATGTTTATGGATCTCGAGGTAATATATTGTAATTAACTGGGGGTTTTTTTCATTCTCATTAATGAAACCTTCAATAGGCAGGGACTGAACAAGAACCAACAAAATAAGAAAGTTCATGAAAAGTAAATGCCTAATCTTGCTCGGTCACTTCTTTCTAAAGGCAAAACTTTAACAAAAGTTTGCATTTTAAAACGAACCATGCAGTCTCCAGCCTGAAACTATCATACTCTGGGTCTATTCAGAGGATGGCCAGATTCAAAAGATGGCTGGGTGTCTGCATGTTTAGTAATCGGATAGAAAAGGAACTTTCAATTTTGTGCAGCAAGTCATCTATGCTTTACTTAATGAATTTCCCCTTTGGAGTTGCACATAGTTTTAAGTGCAGCTTCAATTCCAAATGGGATCATCATTAAATACCCACTAACAATGGTATGTCTACAGTTCCAACAGCATTTAAACACATACACATAACACCAACTTCTTACCGACTGTTGTAAATTTAAAATATTGTATTACAATTCAGTTGTTTTATTTTTTCCTATAGGTAGAGTCTTTGTCCATGAGTGGGCTCATCTAAGATGGGGTGTCTTTGATGAATATAATTATGATGCTCCTTTCTATGTTACCAACAAAAAAGTTGAGGCAACAAGGTATCTTCCTAGATTTATATTGACCTAATAAAATACATGTCTAGACTTCAGCACTTCATCAATTTTCTATCTACTTGTCTAGATCCAATTATTATCCAAATAATAATTCAGGTCATTATCTTGATTTGTTATTTGTATATCCCTTTCAATTATTAAGCTATTAAGACATTCATTTCTTTTATATATCCAGTGTAATATCATGGGAAATTTTCTTTATAATTAATTTAAAAAACTTATTTCAAAATTATCTGGGCTCTCAGTCCATTTGTTTTGCTGTTTATTCAAAGAAACTTTTGTTTTAGTCCTTAAACTTATAGTTTGAAGATTTTCTTTCACTAAGGATTGAAGGAAATTCATCTGGTGCTATAAAACAAGTGAATTCTGAGGTTCCTAATAGCTGAAATGCAGTTAACAAGTAATTTCCAAAAGTGATTATAAAAGGAAGCATGCAAACTTAATGTCCTTTCAAAGGGGTCCACTGGGATTTGAGCAAGATGGCTAACCCTTCTTCTCCCAGAGTTCCACCAAGGACTATCATCTTGGGAGGACCAGATGTCTGGACCATTTTTGGGTGATCTCTTGTCTGTAGAAGAATTTTCAAAGAGCTGCTCACCGCTCTTCATTCCGCCATGGTTGTCAGCTCTGCTTTTCTGGGAGCCATCTTTAGTTCTCCATTTCTTCCCTAGAAGTCCCTCCAGTACCAAAATTCATAATTGTCAATACTCTTCCTATCCTGCTTTTTCAAAGTCCAAGGTTGCAGATATTCTTTACTTAATATAAACATCTTCTCCTGACGTGGATGAGAGACCAAGAATTACTTGAGCTTTAAGCAAAACCTGGAACAAGGCAACAGCAAACCACTTTAGTACTCTTGCAAAGAAAATGAAATGAATATACCCCAAAAGTTATCAGAAGTCAAGCTCAATTTGAAACAAATGTTCTCTTTTTATATTGATTTCATAATGTTTCATTTGTAAATTATATATATTTTTATCATATCATTTAGATGTTCAGCTAGTGTCACTGGTGTTTATATATTTCCAACTGGACCAGGAAACTACAGAGCCTGCAATTTCCAGGAGAGGACTCAGATGTATGAACCGGGATGTCAATTTGTACCACATAAATCCCAAAGCACTCCAGTGTCGATAATGTATATGCAAAGTCTACCTTCTGTGAGTGTAACTAATGTAAAGCATTTAATCTGATCCGATATTTGTCCTCCTGATTAATTCTTACTTTTCTATTTTTAGGTTACTCTGTTCTGTAATGAAAGTAATCATAATATGGAAGCACCAAACCTGCAAAACAAAATCTGCAGCTATAAGAGTACGTGGGAAGTAATCATGAATTCCACTGACTTCGCCTCTTCATCTATAATAAATACTCCTCTACCTGACCCTACTTTCACCCTGATGCAAGCACGCGACAGAGTTGTCTGTTTGGTGCTTGATGTTTCCGGAAGCATGAGCGGTGTAAGTGTAGTGTTAGAAGATTCTTTTAATAGAAAACTTCAAAATGATTTCTTATAGGAATGCTGGGTTAACTGTTAAGTCATTATTAATATTTAATCCCTTCTAACTAATACAGGCTTCTTTTTTGTAAACATTAGCATGGCTATTTATGAAACTATAATAAAATTATAGTTGCTGAATTGTTCTGAAAAAGGGAAAGTTATCCAACAGGATAGATATGATCCAAGATGTTATACAGGCCTTAGACGCAGGGTTTTGTAAGACAGTTTGAAAGCAGGGAAGACGTCCATGCTGCATCCATACATCTGGTTCCTCTTGCCCTCTTCCTGTTCTGAAGCTGGCAGGAAATTACTATTCCAAAAGCCCCACAGCACACACTTAATGTCCAGTTGGAAAGGTCTGTGGTGTGCTGCTGTCCATAAAGCAGTGTGGAACATGGAACTTTGCAGCATTGCAATGATTGGTTCATTCCCTGACCGAGAATTTGTCTTCTCCAACATCATCCACTATTTGGAAAGCCTCTACCAATTGGCACATGCAATCCTCTGGGGTTACTTCATCACTGCATTTTCTTTTTTTCTTCTTTCTTATTGTACCTTTGTCCAGCTACACTTTCAAAGGTAACTTTGGGTCATCCATCAACAGTTTGACCACTCGATCATCAAGGCAGCAAAAAGTTACATTTTTATGTCTTTTGGCACTGTCTTAATGGCCCTCTACATTTTTTGCTGCTGGATAAGGATTTTCAAAGAGTGGTAGTTTAAGAAGGAAGTTTAGGTGTGGGGAATCAGTGTGGGAGCTGGAAACTCCCTTAAGAATATTACTTGAAAAAAGGAAGTGAGGAGCCGGGCTTCCCTAGTAATCACTGAAAAAGGAATTCCCAGTGATATTGGCCTCAACCTATGACCACAACTGAGCCCAAAATTTCTGTTATGAAGACATTTGTTAAGTGAATATTGCCCCATTTTGCAACTTTTCTTGCCACAGTTGTTAATTGAATCACTGCAGTTGATAAGTTAGTAACCCAGTTGTTAAACCAATCTGGCTTCCCCATTGACTTTGCTTGTCAGAAGTTTGCAAAAGGTGATCACATGACCTTGGGACACAGCAAAGGTCATCAATATGAACCAGTTGCCAAGCACCCGAATGTTGATCACATGATCATGGGGATGGTGCAAAGGTCATAACTGTGAAAAAGGGTCATAAGTCACATTTTTCAGTGTCGTTGTAACTTTGAAGAATCACCAAATGAACTGTTGTAAGTCGAGATCTGCCTGTACAAAAGCCAGGTCTTCTCCTCTTTAAGCCAGGGAAGCAATACACAATTTCAAAGTTTCATACTTTCTCATCCAACTAATCACAAGTTGACTAATTCATTTTTTAAAAAAGAAAAAATATAGGGGAGCCAGAGAAGGTAGGGTTTAAGTCTCTCCCAAGCCAATCAGTTCCAAATAGCATAAATGTTTAGTTACAGATTTTGAACAAGCTGTTAGAACTTTGAGATCAAGGTTGGATTAAGGCCAACTGTTGCTGGTTTTAAATTGATTTTATCATTTGGCCAAAACAAAGGCATTTGAAATGGTTGTTCAGGCAGTATTGACAACTGACAACTTTGTCACTCTTCCCCGTCCTCCCATCCCTTTTTCTTTCTTTGCAGTATGATCGCATTGCTCGTCTCAGGCAAGCTGCAGAAGTGTTCGTCCTACAAATCATTGAAACTGGTTCCTGGGTTGGAATTGTAACGTTTCACAGCACTGCCAGCATTACGATTGGCTTGCAACAGATTGTCAGTGACAAAATACGGCAGAATCTTGTGAATCATTTGCCTACCATAGCTAATGGAGGGACTAAAATTTGTGCTGGAGTGCGCAAAGGATTTCAGGTGAAAGAAAACATTCTCCCATTACTTTTATTTCTAGTTTTTTTTTCTCTAGACATAAGTTGTATAGTGAGCTGGTGCAGGTGTTTTAAGAAAAAAATGAAGCAATTATATCATTCAATCATTGTAATTTTTTCAGCCCGATAAAGCTGAGTTGGCAGTATTCACAAGTACCACAGCTTTAATAGATGCCTACTGAAATTAACACACACACACATGCATATTTTAAAATGACAAATCTCATTATCTCAGTGATCTTTTATGAAGATCTGATGGCAATTTGATCTCTTTTTTAAAATTTAAATTGCATTTATTATATTTATTTTGGGGCAAAATCCTGGACAGCATCCATGCCAAATTAAGATCCATCATTTCTCATCAGTGTGGAAATGAGGGACAAAAAGATGCCATTCTATCAGTGGGAGCTTCTCTTCCTAATTATTAAAAAATAATTAAAAGTAGAATTTCCATATTAATTTTTGAGAGGTAGACTGGCATTGCAATTCTTGTTGACTGGATTAGTCTGCAGGCCAGTTTCTGGATTCGCTTTGAAACACTTCTTACAATGGAGTTTCAGAATTTGAAAATATTTTTATTTTATAAACAGCTCCATGTACTCTTTTCAACTTTTAGTTCAGGGGTGTCAAACTGCCGGCCCATGGGCTGGCCGCGTCACGAATAAACCGTGCCCATCCCATTGCCGGCAATGGGGGAAAAGTTCCAATACGTCACGCGACGTCATGTGATGTCGCAAGTTTGACATGTCTGTTTTAGCTGTATACTACAGGCAATCCTTAACTTACAACCACAATTGGGAGCAGAACTTTTGTTGTAAGAAAGTTGTTAAGTGTCTCACGCCCAATTTTATGACTTTTTTGCCACAGTTGTTAAGCAAATCATTGCAGTTAAATGAGTTATGCGGTTGTTGAGTGAATTTGGTTTCTCCTACTGACTTTGATTGTCAGAAGCCAGCTGGGAGGATCTCAAATGGTGACCACATGACCCTGGGGTACTGCAACTGTCACAAATACAAGTTGGTTGCCAAGTGCCTGAATTCTGCTCACTTGACTGTGGGGATGCTATGATGGTTATAAGTGTGAAGAACGAATATAAGTCACATTTTTCAATGCCGTTGTAACTTTGAACAGTCACTAAATGAATGGTTGTAAGTTGAGGACTACCTGTGGAAAGAAATTTTTCCTATAAAGAGAAGAGGAACATGCCTGCAAATGCAGATTTTATAAACCATAATTCCACAAGACAGTCTCTGAGGAATGG